GAGACATTACTTTGTCCACTAAGGTCTGTCTAGTCAAGGCTATGATTTTCCCAGTGGTCATGTATGAATGTGAGATTTGGACTATAAAGAAAGCTGAGCGCAGAAGAATTGATGCTTTTGAACTGTGGTGTTGGAGAAGACTCTTGAGAGTCCCTTGGACTGCAAAGAGATCCAACCAGTCCATCCTAAAGGAGATCAGTCCTGGGTGTTCATTGGTAGAACTGATTTTGAAGCTGAAACTTCAATACTTTGGCCACCTGATGCAAAGAGCTGACTCATTGGAAAAGACCCTGATACTGGGAAAGATTGAGGGCAGGAGGAGAAGGGGATGACAGAGGACAAGATGGTTGGATGGCATCACTGACTCAATGGACATGGGTTTGGGTGGACTCTGGGAGTTGGTGCTGGACAGGGAGGCCTGGCGTGCTGTGGTTCATGGGGTCGCAAAGAGTCATACATGACTGAGCGACTGAACTGAATTGTGTTATGAAAAATATTGTTTGTCTTTAACACTGCCAGGAAGTAGTGTTAGTCGTTCAGTCGTATCCGACTCTTTGCAATCCCATGGACTGTAGCCCGCCAGGCTCATCGGTCCATGGGATTCTCCGGGCAAGAATACTGGAGTGGACTGCCATTTCCTTCTCCAAGGGATCTTCCTGACCTAGGGATCAAACCCAGTCTCCTGTGTTGCTGGCAGATTCTTTACCATGTGAGCTATAGGGAAGACTGTCAGGAATGTCCCTTTAAATAACCAAGTCTCCAAGCACAAGAAGACCACTTTACAGAAATGTGTGTTTTCAGAGTAATTTTTGCTCTAGTCTACAAAATTTCTGCTCTTCCACAGGTGAAAGCCATATCTTTCTTTTCAGCTCCGTGGTTGGAGTTCACAGGCTCCAAAGTGCTGGCAGGGTGACCTGGGTCTGAACCCACAAGGCCTCTCTCAGCGGAAGGATCTCTGAGGGCTGAGGAATGGCTCTTGACAGCACCCGCCCCCACTCCCCCACCTTCGCTGAGCTCTAGGTCATGGTCCGTGTTTCCAGCTGGGATAAGATTAAGGCCTGATTAAGGTTAAAGGTGCCAGAAAGTTGAGAGGCTTGGGAAGCTGATGTTCTGAAGAAAGATGCTGATTCAGACCCCACAGAGGATCATATTCCACACCAGCCTGGTGCTAACCCCTCTGAGGATTGCCTGGAATAAGGGATTTCAGCCGTGGTTGCACATTAGACTCACACAGGGATTTTTTTCTTCTCCAGAATATTAAAGTCTAAACACCCTGCCCAGAGATGCTGACTCATTCGGGGATGGGGCTCTGGAGTGAGTATTTTTTAAAAACTCCCCCAGGTGATTCTAACATGTGTCCACTGAGCACCCCTGTGGTAGAGAGCTGGCCACCCAACAGCTGCCCATAGTCTTGGGATTCAGCCAGAAGGATACAGGCTTCAGTGAGAAGAAATTTAGGAGCAATGAGACGGTGTGTGTTTGGAGAACCCACATGCATTGTGTATGCATTGTGTGGATATCTTCATAGATGTGTAAAATGTATATCTAAGTGTAGAAGGACATTTGCAGCAAAATCAAAAGTGGCATTAGCTTTGAGACAGTCTCCTCGTAAGATAACTCCTAGGTTTGAATGCTATTTTTTCCCTCTTACTATTTTAAAACCTGTTTTAAAACACTGATATGATGAACAAATAGTGTATGATACCTGATTCATGGAGACAGAAGGTTAGAACAGTTGTTGCCAGGGGCTAGGGGTAGGAAGGGATGAGGAGTTCATGTTTAATTGTTTCATTTAGAAACTCTACACATTCATGAAAAAGTTCTAGAGATGGGTGACGGTGATGGTTGTCCAATAATGTGAATGGACTTGATGCTACTGAACTGTATCTTTTAAAATAGTTTAAATGAATTTTAAAAATAAAATTGTAAGACATCATTTCTTTTTAGGTAATTCTTTTTTTTTTTTTTTTACATTTTATTTATTTATTTTTTTCCCATGATGCATATAGCATCACACAGAACCTTGAAAACAAATTCCTTCCTTCTTGCCCTGGATACCTCCTGAGGTAAACTTAGCTTCCTGCCTATGAGTATCTGGACCATGGACCACCCCCAGCCCATTGCCGCTACCACCACCACCTGAGATCTGGCCTCTTCATTTACTGCGGTTCAGAAACCCCCAAGGCTTTCCTTAGAGCTTCTCCCGGGAGTACCCCGACCCCCGCTCCTGAGACTCTGTCTCTCTCACAGCCGCTTGTCAATCATCCAGAAACTCTTGCAGGCTTTGTCACTCACAGGCCTCACTCACCACTGCTTTCAGCTCCGAGGATGTCTGAACGGTGCCTCAGTTTACATGTAGGGAAAAGCAGGGTGCTAAAGTGGGAGCTTAAGGGATCCTTGAAGATACCGTAACTAAACACAGAATGGATTAGTTTCGATTTTGTCTGATGGGTGCCCCTTAAATGACAATAGCATAAATGGTTTAAATGAATCAGGCATTTCATGTATTCATTCTTTAAAAACTTACGGAGGAGCCGCTATGAGCCAAGACTTGTCAGAGAGACACTGAAAGGATTCAGAGAAACCCCAGACTAGTTGGGGAGGTCAAAAGTGCTCCAGTTGTGGAACAGAAGGTCCACAAGTAAGGTACAAACATCCAGTCTTCTAGTTGCCAGGGCAGAAGTCCACTGAGTTTTAAGTAAAAAGGAACGTACTGCCTCACAGGATGGCAAAGTCCAGAGTAAGGTTGCCCTCAGACAGAGCTGGAACAGGCACTCAGTATTTTCAAAGCCTCCTCTGAACTATCTGTGGGCCTTGCCCTGAAACAGGCTTACCTCTTATGGTGACGAGAATGCTCTAAGCTTATTTTCTACCAGTTTAACAAATTGTACTTAAAGAGAGCTGTTTTCTGAGAGTTTCGACAAAATTCTAGGAGTGAGTCTAGGGACATGAGGAAAAACAGGAAATTGACGCCTCAGACTGTACAGATGGGGTGTGGAAAAGCTGGGGAATGCGGAGGGGAAGATGTCTTCCAGTGGAAATGGAACCAGTCTCACCCGCAGAGGGAATAGATCCTGGCATTTTCCTCACCACAGTGTAGAGGTTTAGAGGAGATGGTGGCCGGGTCCCTGTAGTTTCCTCAGAGAAGGCTTCCCAAAGGGACCAGTATTTAAATTGGTCTTGAAGACTCTAAGAATGGGTAGGATCTGGTCATGAAAGGAGTAGAAGGTTTAGAGGGAGGGCCCACCAGGGGGAAAAAGCATGAATACTAATCAGTGATTTTAGATGAGAAGGTTATGTGTGATCAGTCTACTATTAGGTGATACAAGTTGGTCTAGAGAGGACAACCCTGAACTGAGGCAGGAAGGTTCTTGAGCCCCTTGAGCAGACCTGCATGGAAGTGCCTGTCTTTCAGGAATGATAAAGGGATCTGGCTTTCTGAAGTCCATGGGGTCGCAAAGAGTCGGGCACAACTGAGAGACTGACCAACAAGAAGGACGCAATTTTAAGTGACCTAGATCACAGTCACTTTTGGTCAAAAACACACAAGAAAATTTCCTATAGAAGTTAGACCATTCTTTAGGCTGGGGTATAATTTGTGCAGTAGATTTGCTTTTGGCGCTCCTAGATTTTTGTTTTCTTTTGTTTGGTCTTTCAGCATTTGGTGAGACAAGAGCGAACCTCACCCACCATGAGACTTCCAATGAGTCTTGTGTGAAAAAAGAACAGGTAAAAAAGCTCAGTATGATGCTGAGACACAGGATAACATTATGCAAGAAAGTAATACTGAGGTCTTAGAAACAGAGTTTACATAATTTCTTTTGTCTTTTTTGCTTTCAAAAAAATATAAAGCCCACAAAGAGGGTTATTCATGAAAAACAGAATTCCACAGCCTGCTTTAGCCATCAGTGTAGGAGCACCTTTTCAGATGCAAGTTGTTTTCCCCAAAATTCTTGAAAATTCTGAGAGGTTGTGTAATATTGAATGATTTCAAAGACTCAAATCGGGAGCCGGACAACAGCTCCAGATCCTAGAAGTGCTTCCAAATCTAAGGTTTTCTTATTTAAAAATTTAAAATTACTCATGTATCTGCCTTGAACATCCCAATCCATGATCATAAGCACAGTGAATTTTTATTTCATTGTGGACCCCTCTTTATGGGTTAATTCTACATGAGAGGTAATTTTGATTAATGATAGGTAACCACAGCTATCTAGTCCTTCCCTCAAGAAATGCAAAGAACCATGAAGCAGAACCAAAGAAATCCAAGAAACAAAACCACAGCCAATGTTTATTCTTGATTGTTGTCACTACATCTTTCATGCTTCCTTATTTTCCTTCACCATTAAATATATAATAACCAAAACTTTATTAATATACACATAAAAGAAACGTGCACAGCACACAAGCATGGTAGGTAGTGAGTAAACATGGTGAGTGGTTGGTGTTTGCAACCAGGGTCTGTGACTCAGGCCTCTTCAAACGATGAAGTTTTTCTGTTCAAACTGAGGGACAGGTCTGCCCTTTTATTTTTTTTTCCTGAGACTCTGCTTTGTTCTTTTCTCCAACAAATGTTTTAAAATTAGTGAAATACCAAGGGAGATATGGTGGAAGGAGACACAGGATGGAATTAGAAAAAAGCATAAATGGAATCCTGAAAGCTCTGTGATGGGTGACTGATAAAACCTCTTGAGGAAGCAAAAATAAACAGAGTATTTCATCAGCCCCTCATTCCCTAAGAGGGAAAAACACACACATTTTTGTGTTTGGAGAAATAGCTATGGCATTTGCAGAGTAGAAAAGTGTCATGAGAAATTGGAAAATATCTCTAATGTCTATAGCACATGAAATATCTAAAAGTAATAAAATATCGAAAGACAAGAGAGTTTATCTGTAAAACTGACCATGCACATGTTGGATGAAAAGTAAAAGTATGGGATTAAATGGTTGTGTTACTGAAATAGCACTTGGTATATAAACTCAAACATTCTTTTTCACATTCAGTTTCTCAGAGGCTTGACTTCAGATGCCTGAGCACTTTCAGCATTATGTTGGCCTTTATCCCTCTTCATCCGGAAAAACACCACTGCTAAAATTATACCTAAAAGAGAAAAATCAGAGTCAAATAGATGAAATCTTACAATGTACTGTCACATTCATTTATAAAGTAGCACTCTGGTAGGAAAAAATGACTCATATAATTTCACTTTGTGAGTGGGTCAACAAAGCTTCGTTGTCATGGTGATTAAGGGCTTCTAGGCATGGGTTTTCTTGGATAAGTACGATTATCACTTATCTTGCTGTCAGTGTGTAACAAGTCCCAAGTTATATGTAAGCTGATGGCTATCCCCAGGCCTCTGTCAAGGGATATAGGACTTTATGCCTGCACTACCCTGAAGACTAAGTGTATGAGCAGCTGACAGAGTTCCTGAACTTAGGACACAGTCAATAGATGTTGATTCCAGTCCTCCTTCTCCTTCCCTGGAGGAAATAGTCCAATGAGAACAACCAGAGAGCTTTTCTTGGATTTGTCTACCTACCTAAAGCCTACTTTCACCAAGTATCACATTTTCTTTCACACCTTCCTCATGGCTCCAGCTTGAGTAGACTACCTAACCTCTCTGCTTTCCCTCATCTCTGACCTCGTACAAAATTACATTGTGTGTTTTAGCACTAAATGTGTACTACAAACCAGAGACCTATATGGAAAAGGAGATTGTTTTTAGGAAATTAACCTAGCATTAGGGTCACAGGAGGAATAATGGCAGAAAAGACTGGATGCTCAGAGGCCCATTAAGAATCTTACAATAATCCCAATCCTCCTATTTTGAAAAAAAGTAAGGATATGAAACTACAAGATCCTCTTACTTCTATCTGTAGATCACCAAACTCATCCAATCTTTAACTTGTGTTAAAATTTTGAGAGTAAATGGTCATGCTAGAAAACCATGGCATGTAAGCTCAAAAATCCTTTCAAGATGAGAAGACTAATAGAATAAGAAAAGGCATAGACGTAGGGGGGAGTTTGGTAAGTGAGTAAACCTCAAAAGCCAGCTCAATTAGCATAGATTTGCAGCAAACTGTTGTCAGAGAGAAATAATGGTCACCATGCACATATTAGGGACTTCCTTGTAGCTCAGACAGTGAAGAATCTGCCTAAATGCAGGAGACCCAGGTTTGATCCTTTGGTTGGGAAGATCCTCTGGAGAAGTGAATGGCAACCCACTCCAGTATTCTTGCCTGGAGAAGCTCATGAACAGAGGAGCCTGGTGGACTATGGTCTGTGGGGTCGCAAAGGGTTGGACACAACTGAGCGAGTAACACTACTATTACTATGCACAGATTAGGATGGGCCATGGTCACGTCACAAAACCCCTTCTATGTCATAGTAATGAGGAATACAAACAGAAGGGTATAAGGAAATGAGATCCCTTTTAGAACTATGAATCAGAATCCAGGGTGGTAGACCGAATGATGGAAGAAAAGAACAGATGCCAAGAGAACAATGAAGAAGACTTATAATAACTCCAGCTCTTCCTTTAAAAGAGAAAGGATGTGAAACTGTGTCAACTTCTTCACTCAGGTGCATGTGAACTGATGAAGTATCTATTTCTAATACTTAATTTGTGGTGAGAACAACCGTTGAAAGAGGGTAAAGACTAGAGTAGACACTGAGCAGTTTACAAAAAAGAAGACAGGGAACTCTGTTCTCTAGGGGCCAAGGCATAGTGAGGCCTGCGATGCAGTGGAATTATTCTGAGATAATAAAGAATCAAGGTCCACAGTCACATTAACACAAAAGGGGGAGTTCTGCAACATGTCAGGTCCTTCAGACATGCCCGCATCTCCACTGGAAGCTAGCTTCTACCTATTCCAACAATGGCGGACTAGACCCTAAGCTCTGTGAGTGAAAGATCCGTTTATGTCACTGTGTCTCCCACCAGGCACAGTACCTGACACATAGCAGAGGCACAGCTACTGCATTTCTTTCTCCTTCATCATGAAAGCTTGGCAACTCAGAGTGAGATACAATCATTTATTCTTTAAAGCTGCATATGTGGTGTTTCCCAAATTAACCAGCAAGGCAGTGATGGATGGAGGGTAGTACCAAAGCGGTAACTCCCAACCAGGAAGGCTGGCTATGGTTTACTGGTGATATATATTCTTGGTTATTGCTCAGGTTGCCATTTGAGCAGCCCCAGCTTAGCCTATGAAGTCAGACCCTCGTGTAAGCTCATGTTTCTGAGGCCCAGAGCAGAAATCCTTGAAACTATACTCACCAATGACCAACAAGGTGGCAAGGAGTATGCCAACTGCCATGCCCACCGGGGGTATCCCAGGCATGTGAGCCGCTGGCTGGAAACACCTATTTTCCACACACTTGCAGAAAGTAACTGAGAAACAGAATAATATTTGGTAGATAAATTTTCAAGCAAACAACTGCAGGATCCTGTATTAAAGATAAGAATTCTCACAAATTACCATATTGAGAGACAACATTATCCCAAGTTGCCTGCAGCAAAATATCTACCTGATAAAGAGACAGTCCCTTCCATGGGTTGTCGGCCACCTTCACTGATGCGGATTGGGATGTTGTAAACTCTCTCCTCAAAGCCCGTGTGCTTGGTGGAGAGGTGGGCATGAGTTCCTGTCAGAATAGGGGAAAAAAATGACTGACGTGAAAACACAACTGTGGGCCCCTGGATGACCAGGAATAAAGCTAATCTCTGCCTCATATATGAATGGTTAGATGAAAGGGTAAGTTAAACTACCACAAGTATCACCACTCCACAGGTGCCCCACATAATGTTAAAAAGGATGCTGAAGCATCCAACAAATTCTCAATTCCTGACTTCGCTGTAGAAATGAACACTAAATGCAGTAGGTTGTCATTACTCCTGGTAGTTATGTTCCATAAAGTGGCCACAAACACTGAATTAGAAAACATATTTGAAGAAGTAATTGCTAACATCTTTCCAAATTTGATGAAAACTCTACATCCTCAGATCCAAGAAGATCAGCAAATCTCAGGAAAAAGAAAAGTGAACACAACTACACCAAGGTACATAATACTCAATTTACTGAAAATTAGTGAAAAAGAAAATCTTAAAGGTATCCAGAGAAAAAAACAAAGAAGAACCAACACAATCCAGAACACAGTGAAGAAATGTCTGTAAAGTACTGAAAGAAAAACTCTGAGTAAGTTTAAAAGTACTCCAATCACATGTTCTCAGGTCACTATGGAATTAAACTAGAAATCAGTAACCAGGAAGATGTGGGCAGTCCCTACATATATGAGAACCAAATAGCCTACTTCTAAATAACCCATGTGTCACAGGAGAACTCTAAAGGGAAATTAGAAAGTGTTTTGAACTGAATGAAAATAATACATCAAACTTTATGGAATATAGCTACTAAGACACTGAGATCAATTATAACACCAAATGCCTACATTAACAAAGAAAAAAATTTTCGCTTGCTTCAGCTTCCACCTTAATCAAAACAGAACCAAAAAGCAAGTTAAAAACAACATAAGAAGAATATAGGAAATAATAAAGATCCGAGCAATGAAATATAAAACAAAATATAAGGCAAAATCAATGAAACCAAAAGTTCATTCAGTGAGATTAATAACCTCTAGCCAGACTGTTCGGGACCAAAATAGAGGCAAAACTTTCCAATATTAGAATGAGGTGATATCACTACATATTCTGTAATTATTAAAAGTAATAAAATATTATGAACAACTTTGTGCCAATGAATTAGACAAATTAATTGAAACAGAGAAATCATTTGAAAGATACAAACTAGCAAGCTCAACCAAAAATAAATCTATAACTTGAGTAGTCCCTTATCTATTAAAGAAATCGAATTTGCAGTTAAGACTTCCTACAAAGAAAACTTTGGGCCAGAAGGCTTCACTGGTGAATTCTATCAAACTTTAAGGAAAAAATAAAAAGCAATTTTACACAAATTCTTCCAGATAATTGAAGAGGTAGAACACTTTCTAAATCATTCTATGAAGCCAGTACTACTCTGATACCAAAATCAGACAAAGGCACTATAAGGGAAAAATATAGGCCAATGTCCCTTATGAGTATAGATAGAAATATTCTCAAAATTTTAGCAAATCGAATCCAATCAGTTATAAAAATGCTAATATTTCACATCAAGTAGGCCTTATCTCAGGAAAAGACTGAATTAAGATATAAAAGTTGATTGAAATATTTCACCAACTAAGACAAAAACAACAAAAACCTAAATTAACCAACAACCATCTAAATAGATGCAGAAAAAACACCTGAAATTTTTAGCATCATACTTCATTTAAAAAAAAAACAACAACCTCTCAGCAAGTTAGGAATAAAAGATAAAATCCTCACTCTGATAATGGACAGCTATAAAAACTTATAGCTAATTTTATACTTAACAGTGAGAGACCATGAATGCCTTCTCCCTGAGATCAGAAGCCAAATTGTTTCTTCTCTCACTACCTTCATTTAACATTGTTCTGGCGATTTTGACCAGTAAGAAAGCAAGCTAAATATATAAAAAGCCATCCAGATTGGAAAGGAAATAAAGCTATTATGATTCACAGACAACATGTAGAAAAACTATGAAAATGTAAGGAAAAGGGGGAGAGAGAACTTACAAGTGAGGTCAGCAATATTATATGCTACAAGATCAGTACAAGAAAATCATAAGTTATATTTCTATATCCTGGAATTAAAATTTTTAAGTATTTATAACAGCATAAAAATATGAAGCGCTTAGGGGAAATTCTGTAAAACTATACTTAGAAAATTAAAACACATTGCTCAGAAAAATTAGGAAGACCTAAATAAGTGGAGACATAATCATATTCATGGATTGGGAAATTCAATTTTGTTAAGATTTAAATTCTCCCCCAGATTCAGGCACAGATTCATACTATCTCAGTCACAACCGGCATAGGTTTTGGGGGTAAAAACAGACAAGCTTAATTCTAAAATTTATATAGAAATGCAAAATAAACTTGAAAAAGAACAAAGCGAGGACATTTACACTACCCGATTTCAAGTCTTATTATTGAGCTGCAATTATCAAAACATTATGATGTCGCTATAAAGATAGACAAAGAACTCAATGAAACAGTAAAGAGAGAGTCCAGAAATAGACCCATATATATGTGGTCACTTGATTTTTGACAAAGCTGCCAAGACAATTCAATGTGAAAAGGATATTTTCAATAAAGTGTTTAAATAATTAGATAGCCATATTAAAAAAAAATGAACCTTGACATTCACCATACATGCACAAAAAAATTAAAATGGATCATAGAGCTAACTGTAAAAGCTAAAACCATAGCTTCCTTTTCTCTGGAAGAAAAAAAAAATGAGAAAAATTTAATAACCTTGACAAAAACTTCTTAAAGAATATGCAAAAAAGTCACAAATTATAAGGGAAAAATATCAATAAATTAGATGTCATCAGAAAAATTTAATTTGCTCTTCAAAAGGTACTGTTACAAAATAAAAATGTAACAGTGCCTGGGAAGAAATATTTTAAACATATATCTGACAAATAAAGACAACAATAGAAGTAAAATCTTTGCTAAATTTTTTAAGCAGGCACAATATTTGACCAGACACTACACCAATGAGGATATATGGATGGCAAATAAGCTTATGAAAAGCCGTTCAACACCATTAGTCATTGCTGCTGCTGCTGCTAAGTCGCTTCAGTTGTGTCCAACTCTGTGCGGCCCCATAGACGGCAGCCCACCAGGCTCCGCCATCCCTGGGATTCTCCAGGCAAGAACACTGGAGTGGGTTGCCATTTCCTTGGGCCATGTAAATTAAAACCATAACGAAATACTACACTCCCACTTCAATGGCTAAAATTAAAAAGACTGAGCATAGCAAGCATTGAGAATATTAAGCAACAAGAATTCTCATTCACTGGTGGGAATGTAAAATGTTACAGACTATTTGGGAAGCAATTTGATATCCTCTTAAAAATTTGACCATATAGCTACCATATGACCACTTCCAGGTATTTAACCACGACAAATGGAAGCACAGGCTCTTACAAAGTACTTCACAAATGTTCATAACGGCTTTATTTGAAATGGCAAAGACTGGAAGCAATTTAAGTAATAATCAATAAGTCAATGAATAATAAATCATAATATACAATGAAATACTCCTCTGCAATACAAATGAGTGCTGTGCTGATAATATGCAACAACACGGTGAAATCTCCAAATAAGTATACTAAGTGAAATTAACCAAACAAAAAAAGAGTACACACTGTTATTTTATTCACATAAAACTCTTGAAAATGCAAACCAATTTACAGTGACAGGAAGCAGATCAGTGGTTACTCGCGGGAGATGGACAGGAAAGCCTGGCCTGCTGCAGTCCATGGGGTCACAGAGTTGGACACGACTGAGCAACTGAGCTGACTGAGGGATGGATGAACAGCCTGGGGTGGGAAATAGGGATTGCAACAGAATATGAACAAACCTGGTGGAGCTGGTGGAGCTGTTCTTACCTGATTGTGCAGATGGCTTCAGTGGCACATACATATGTCAACTTTTATAAAACTGTATGCTTTAAATATATGCTGTTAATTGTATGTCAATGATATTTCAATAAAGCTGTTTTTAAAAGATCATGACAAAATCTGTTTCTCAGCTGCCACTGGTTGCTCTGCAATGCTGCTCTGATTGCAAAACCATGCATGTACACCAACTACTGTCCAACTGTTCATGTACACCAAAGGGGACACTGAGCGCTAACAATCTGTCCTTTCCCAACCTTGGGGGCTTTCACCACTCTGGAGAGCTTGCCTGTGCAAGTCTCCACAGCATGAACTTCCTTTCGGGAGCATGGAAGAAAGCTCTGTGCTGAGTGCTGCACACACACCAAGGCAAATTAAAAACTCATTTCATCGCCCATCGGTGTTTTTCTCAATGTTCTTTTGACAACTCACCATTGATTTTGGAAACTTCCCAGTCTTTTTGTAAGCTTTCGCTGCCAAGGGAAAACGTAAAGTGTTGACCCCGAAATGTCGGTTGATCATCATCGGTGGCCTCAAAAATGAGACTTCCGGGTGCTTTGAGGGGATAGCAAAAGAACAAGCCTGTGTACTCCTTGACCAGCCGTGGGGCGTTGTCGTTCACATCCGTAAGGGTCAGGTGGAATTGTGCCGTGGAACTCAAGGAGGATCCACCTAAGGAATTGAATCATTGAAATACGGTGTCTGCTCTCATTCTCCTCTCAATCAGAAAGGCTATTTCCTTTCCTTGAAAAAAAATTTACAATTCAGACGTAGTTTCATTTTCTGCTTTAAAAGTCTTGATAATAAAAATAACTAAGAATTATGAATCTGCCTGCCATCGTAGGAGACGCAGGAGACACAGTTTCGATCCCTGGGTTGGGAAGATTCCCTGAAGGAGGAAATCGCAACCCACTCCAGTATTATTGCCTGGAAAATTCCATGGACAAAAAAGCCTGGCGGGCTACAGTCCATGGAATTGCAAAGAGTCAGACACAACTGAGCACACACGCACACACCCAAGAATTATGAGCTAATGTTTTATACACGTTACTTCAAAACAATACCGGCATACATTTATTGCTGAAAAGACTGGAGCTCAGAGAAGTTGTGTGACTTGCCCAAGGTCACACAGCAGTGGAGAATCTTCCAACTCAGGAGATCTGACTCTAGAGCCCACAACTTCAGTTGCTCCTCATCACTGACTTAGGCATGGTTAAGTTTTCTAAGCCTCAGGACTTCCCTGTGGTCCCGTGGCTGAGACTTTGCCTTCTAGTCCAGAGGGTGAGGATTTGATTCCTGGTCGGGGAACTAAGATCCCACCGGCTGCAAGGCAACTAAATCTGTACTCCACAACTACTGAGCTGAGCCTGCACACCACAGCTAGAGGGAAGTCCAAGTGCCACAACTAAGACCCGAGGCAGCCAAATATAAATGAATAAATATATATTTTTAAATTTTTCTAAGCCTCATTTCTTCAGCTATAAAATGTGACTTTATGAGGATCCAAAGTGTAGTATTCTTAGAAAATTGTACAGAGCTGTACAAATGTTATTTGCTGGGGTATCATGGTAAAAATTTTGACCTTGCTGCCTGAGCAATTAGTAGCTGTGTAATCACTGGTGAGTTACTTATCAGTATCTTGGTTTCTGTATCAAATATGATCAATTATAATCCCTCCCCATAGTGTTGTGTGAGGGGTAAGTTGCTTAGAAGGAGATGGTTAGTATAGTGGGAACACTGATGGGTCTCATTCTCCCTGATGTTTCTACAATTTCTGACTCCAACCTGCTTCAATTCCAGTAAATTCTATTTGCCTGCTTTTCCCGTCAGCTGTCTCCTTAACCAAAGGAGGAAGAGCTACCGTGTTCTTGAAGTCATTTCATCGACATGGATCATGAGAGGGCCAACAGCTGCACACCAGGTGGGATTTTGAACCCTGTTTTTGATTCCCGACACTTCTAAACTGTGAGAGGCTTTAGGACATGTCTAAAGTGAAATGCTGACCCCACGGTATATTTTGGCAGAAGGCGGAGCACAAAGACTTCACCAGAAACTTCCTGCTGATGAAATCAGGAGCTTTTTAAATCAAGAGTTAAATGTGTAGAGTGTAATAGTGGTATGTGTTAGCAGCACATTAACTAGAAGCAAGAGAGAGAGCGCCCCCAACCCACCTCAGCGAGGTCCATGCGCTCACCCACAACCATTTCAAATTCAACACACACATCTGCAGGTCCAGCCTCTTTGGTTTAACATGACTACAGTACTTTTGCTCTTCTTCATCTTTTCACAGACAGGGACTATTTTCATGATTCCCACCTACTGGAATTTTCCCTATTCCTATTCCCAAACCTGGGCTTTATGTTTTGAAAGTTTCTTTCTTTGCTCTAAATCTGTGTTTATTTAGTCATACTTTGCTCAGTTCTCTTTTTTTTTTTTTTTTTTGGTAAGTCAGGCAGGTATACTACTATATAATTCTGGGGTTTCCCTCATAGCTCAGTTGGTAAAGAATCTGCCTGCATTGCAGGAGACCTGGGTTCAATTCCTGGGTCGGGAAGATCCCCTGGAGAAGGAATAGCAGCCCACTCCAGTATTCTTGCCTGGACAATTCCATGGACAGAGGAGCCTGGCGGGCTACAGTCCATGGGTCGCAAGGGTCAGACACGACTTAGTGACTAAACCACCATCACCATATAACTCCATATTACTACACAGTGCTTTGATCCCGCTCCCTGGAGAAACCCACAGCCACTTTGGAGGAAGGCGGGGTAGTTCAGTGGGGGCACAGGAAGCTTCCTAGAAGCCGTGGTCCCTGCAGGACCCCACAGAGGGAGCAGCGGCCCTAAATCCTGCCAGCCTCCAGAGGCAGCCCGGCCTGAAAGAGCCCTGTTGCAGGCACAAGTGTTCTCACCCGTATCACAGCCAAGGAGGGGTGAGCCCTGCCCTCCCTGTTTGGACTCTTCTCGTTTCTCCACTGTCAGATGTTCTGGCCATTTGACCCAGTAGGGTTTCCCACTCACCTCGCCTTCCCTCCCACTTCTACGGACGTAGCCCCGATCACTTGTGTTACCTTTTACGTATTTGTGTCGGCTCACCTACTTCCGTTGCCACCACTTGTACCCGATACAGACTTTCAGCTTCCCTGTCCAGCGGCGCCGCACTGAAGATCTCACCAGTGACGGGGTCGATTCTTAGCCAGCCTCTCTTGTCGCCTCTCAGTGAATAACTTCAGTAAGAGAAAAGAACAAAAGAAAGCCCATATTACCCTGCATGAAAACGTGGAGATAGTTTATGCACCTCTATGCTGTTATATCAGCACTGTCCCTTGCAGACTATTGACAACATATGTAAAGAAGCATAATTTAGTATTACTAATGCTTGGCAACCCACTCCAGTACCCTCGCCTGGAAAATCCCATGGATGGAAGAGCCTGGTAGGCTACAGTCCATGGGGTCGCAAAGAGTCGGACACAATTGAGTGACTTCACCTTCACCTTCAATGCTTTCTTTGCCTACTGTCTGCCTTCAAAAGAAGGATTTGTTCATCCCTACAAAGTGGTTTTTGTACTTGTTTTAATTTTTTAAAAAAAAGGTAGAGTCACAAACTCTAGTGAAGAAAGTTAAACTTCCTTTTCAAATAAAACAACCTTGAATTGTCTATTAAAACCACTCTCTCTAAGAAAACATGAACACTCATTGGTGGAAACATGTGAATAGGTGAATACTCAGAGGCATGGTTTACTCTTCATTCAACAGACATCTGCTGAGAGATAGCAAACATCAGGCTGTGGACCAAGAGAGGAAATTACCAAAAGGCCAGTGGAGGAGACAGAGACAGATAATTCTAGTGTGATGGTTATCAGGGTCCATGTGGAATCCGAGATAAGGTAATGGGAATCAGAGAAGTCTTCTGAAAGAGTGTGCTGTGCTGTGCTTAGTTGCTCAGTCATGTCTGACTTGTTGCAACTCCATGGACTGCACCCCACCAGGCTCCTCCGTTCATGGAGATTCTCCAGGACAGAATACTGGAGTGGGTTACCATGCTCTCCTCCAGTGGATCTTCCCAACTCAGGGATCAAACCCAGGCATCCCACATTGCAGGCAGATTCTTTACCAGCTCAGGCACCAGGGAAGCCCCTCCTGAAAGAGTTCAGTTCAGTTCAGTCGCTCAGTCGTGTCCGACTCTTTGTGACCCCATTAACCACAGCATGCCAGGCCTCCCTGTCCATCACCAACTCCCAGAGTCCACCCAAACTCATGTCCATTGAGTTGGTGATGCCATCCAACCATCTCATCCTCTTTTGTCCCCTTCTCCTCTTGTCTTCAATCTTTCCCAACATCAGGGTCTTTTCCAATGAGTCAACTCTTCGCATCAGGTGGCCAAAGTATTGGAGCTTCAGCTTCAACATCAGTCCTTCCAGTGAACACCCAGGACTGATTTCCTTTAGGATGGACAGGTTGGATCTCCTTGCAGTCCAAGGGACTCTCAAGAGTCTTCTCCAACACCACAGTTCAAAAGCATCAATTCTTCAGCACTCAGCTTTCTTCACAGTCCAACTCTCACATCCATACATGACCACTGGAAAAACCATAGCCTTGACTAGATGGCCCTTCGTTGGCCAAGTAATGTCTCTGCTTTTTAATATGCTGTCTAGGTTGGTCATAACTTTCCTTCCAAGGAGTAAGCGTCTTTTAATTTCATGCTGCAATCACCATCTGCAGTGATTTTGGGGCCCCCCAAAAATGAAGTCAGCCACTGTTTCCCCATCTATTTGCCATGAAGTGATGGGACCAGAGGCCGTGATCTTAGTTTTTTCTGAATGTTGAGCTTTAAGCCAGCCTTTTCACTCTTCTCTTTCACTTTCATCAAGAGGCTCTTTAGTTCTTCTTCACTTTCTGCCTTAAGGGTAGTGTCATCTGCATATCTGAAGTTATTGATATTTCTCCCAGCAATCTTGATTCCAGCTTGTGCTTCTTCCAGCCCAGCGTTTCTCATGATGTACTCTGCATATAAGTTAAATAAGCAGGGTGACAATACACAGCCTTGACATACTCCTTTTCCTATTTGGAACCAGTCTGTTGTTCCATGTCTAGTTCTAACTCTTGCTTCCTGACCTGCATACAGGTTTCTCAAGAGGCAGGTCAGGTGGTCTGGTATTTCCATCTCTTTCAGAATTTTCCACAGTTTATTGTGATCCACACAGTCAAAGGCTTTGGCATAGTCAATAAAGCAGAAATAGATGTTTTTCTGAAACATCTGAAACAGTAGATGTTAACTAAAGCGAGAAAAAGAAGGATGCTTTAAGCAGAAGAAATTGAAGGAACTAAGGCAGAGAGGCCAAGGAATAGCTAAGGGTGTGGGGGCATCAGACGTTCCAGGAGTGAAGGGATAAAAATAGGACACAGTGGATAGCAAAGGATGAAGCTCAAGGGATGGAAGGAGCTGGGTCATGGGAAGCGATGGACAGTCAGGGGCTGGTGACCTAGTCATGTCTGTGTTTTCAGTAGAACTCATTGGTAGGTGCATGAAAGGTGAATTTGAGTGAGAAAAATCTAGAACCAAAGGAAAACAGATGGCTACAGCCTTTTGGGAACAAAACGTCATAGCCATAAGGATGTCTATATCTTTAAATTAAAAAAAAAACCCACCTCTGGAAATTTTCCCCCAATAAAAAACAATTTAATAGAAGTTTTAAAAACAAATTATACACATACATTCAAAACTTTTCTATAACTTAAAAAATACAGGAAACAACCTACATGTCTGGGAGTATGAGAATGATTAAAAAGTAATGATGTTGTTGGTTCAAACTAATTTTTTCCCAGTGTTAGAATATTCTATATGTCAAGCACTATGTTAGGCTCCTTGTATGGGCAATGAATTAAAAATTGCCTGTGTTTGGTTGGATGGCATCACTGACTCGATGGGCATGAGTTTGAACAAGCTCTGGGAGTTGGTGATGGACAGGGAAGCCTGGCATGCTGCGGTCCATGGGATCGCAAAGAGTCGGACACGACTGAGCGACTGAACTGAACTGATGTAGTCGGGATTTCTGAGTAAGATGGAAACCCTCTGGAGGGTTTTCAGAGGAGTTACATGATTTTACTTTCTTAAAGACCTGCCCTCATTGCAGTGAATGGATGGGTGGAAGAGATGATAATGTGGCCTGGATCACTGCGGAACTGATGAGAAGCAGCTGAATTCTGGATATATTTCAATGAAAGAATCACTAATATTTACTGATAGATTAGATTAGGATCCATTGGGTGCTAATGGATTCCAAGTTTGTGGATCTAAAAGAAAGAGAATTAAATTGCTCAGGTTTCAGCAGCAGCTTTGGAGTTGACTTACTCCTAGCATCCCAACTGTTGATTACTCTTCATTCATGAAGTACTCTTTTCATTTGTTTCTTCCAGGACATTATCCTTCTTTTTCCTGATTTTAACTTAATGGTACATACATCATATCTTTTCCTCAGATGAAAGAATGAACATCTATCTGGGGAATGTTCTTAAATGACTTAGTTTTCTCCCCTCATAAACTCAAATTTTTATTCACTTGCCTCTGACTAATGACTTTCTCATGGCATTCTCGTGAAGGAGATAGAAGCATTTGTTAAAGAGTAAACTGTTGTAAAATTAGGAACATTTCGTGCCCCATCACGCTTAGTAACTCTGACGTACAGAGTAGTATCTACACTAACCATGCAGTACAACACGTCTTTTCTCTTATTTGTCTTTGTGAAAGTTGACAAGTGCTTGCAGTGTAAAATAGTAGGTGGGAACTTTACTCTGACAGACAATCAGAAAAACGTCTTGAAACTGATTCCAAGTGCCTAAAGGATCACTCAGTGGGAGGCAAGACTCCCCTCAAATATTTAGAGACACTTAAGGAATTGTCATTCATAACATTCATAATCACTTGCATAGGTTTTAAGCTATGCTGAAATATTTGTCATGCCAGGGACAGTAGGGCTGATGTTATACAACAGAAACAAAAGATCCAGGTTCAAGTCCTGTCCTTGGGCTTATTAACGAGATGATCTTAAGAAGGTTATAGATATTGATACAGACATGAATGTATACACATCCATCTGTTATCTTGGAAAATTTGACTTATTGTTGCACATATTTAAGGAAAATCTGTGTGGGTTCTATCACCCTGAAAAAAAACAATGAGAACTACTAAAATGGAAATACTTACACATCTAGTGTAACCATCTCTGCCCACGTACTCACCTTTCCAGGGCTGAGCTCCAGAATGAACCTTGTTGCCCTGGACCTGCTCTGAAGAGCCCCTCAAGGAGACGGCTCCCTTCACCCGCTCAGGTGGTTGAATCCACCCTGTCAGGTTGCTGCTTTGTTTTGCTGTCTAGAACGCCCGTCTGCCTCAGGAGCTGGAGCTCGTCTCCGGACCTGGCCCTGTGACCGGCCCAGACCCAGGGCCTACCTCTTGGCAGTCTCCAGCCCCACCTGCGGACTCCCCAGCTCTCAGCGGAGACCTGCAGTAGGCAGGCCGGGCTGGAATCTGACCTGCTTCCCACTCCGGAGCCTGGATGTTCCCCGATGCCCGCCAGGTGACTGGCACCTGCCGAAACCAAGGGCAGATTCACCAAGTTTCTTCAGATCCCTTAGGGGAGAGCCCTCGAGTCAGGCCAGCTTCTCTCCCCCCGCCCCCCAGCCCTTCCTCCTCCCACGGGCGGTGACCACGGTACCCAGCCAAGCTTCCCCGCACGGCTCCGCCCTACCTGACGTCCAGACCTTCCGGATCCCTGGCAGTCACGTTGCCCACTTTTGTGCCTTTAGCCACAGCCTCACTGACTGTTGCTTCAAATACTTGTTGGAAAAATTGCGGGGCCTCATTCACGTCTGTCACCGTCAGTCTGAAGGTAGCAGAAGAGCTGGCGTTATACTGTACGCCAGGCACCAGAGGCTCGGGATTTTCTGCTTGGACGACAATATTATGAATGGCGACTGTTTCAAAATCAAGAGGCTGCACAGGGGGGAGAAGAAGGTAAATCAATTGGGGGATAATTTCCTCCCTTAAAACTCACCCCCTCGGCGCCCTTAAAAACACTCTGACAGAGCATCTGTTCTTAAACTAGTGTCAGTAAAAACTTCCTTCTCTGGATAGCAGAGCCATGGAGAAGTTTCTGCTACAGGACTTACCAGGACTTCTAACATGCTAATGTGTGTTCTGACCCTCCTAGAAGAGGCCATCACTACAGCACTCCTCCGATTTATTTAATGCTGGGATCATTCATTCATTCAGCAGAAACTTACTGAGTCCCTCAAGACAGTTCTCAGAAGTCACTGGGAAACGCTTATACAGAGATTTCCACATGGTGTGGGCCTTCTCTGGTGGCTCACTGGTAAAGAATTCCACCTGCCAATGCGGGAGATGCAAGTTCAGTCCCTGGGTTGAGGGGACCCCCTAGAGAAGGAAATGGGAATCCACTCCAGTATTCTTGCCTGGAGAATCCCATGGACAGAGGAGCCCGAAGCAGCTACAGTCCATGGGGTTGCAGAGCTGGACACGACAGCAGCTAAAGAGCAACCACACTGTATGGAGGATGATTTCCCAGAAACCTCAGGATTCGAATTTCAAAATAAAACAACTTAAACTCATGGCGGTTGGGAGAGGTTAGCATAAACTAGAGCGTACCTGCTCATTTTACATCTAAAAACTGTCTCAGAAACTATAAATACCTACCCCTCAAAATGGCCAAAACCTTACTAAAGACAACCTAGACTTTTGTGCATGAGAACTTGGTGTAACATCAAACTGGGCCCCATGTTTGGGGCCCCAAACATGGCTGAACAGAAAGAAAAGGAGGTTGAACTCCATACGCTGCTAAGGTTCCTAGCAAACTGCTGTCTTAAGGGGAATTACAATGGCCATTAACAGGAATGTTCCAATTAGACAAGAGCATTTAAGAAGAGCACTTAAAAGCAAGGAATACCTATTTTAACTGGCATGCAGAAGCCTCCAAAAGACTTCAAATTCCAAAATAGTTTCATTGAAAATTTGATTGCAAAAGCTAGATAAAAAATTAGAGATATAAAAGGTATCCAAAAAAAGACTATAGGACTGATGTAATTCCTACTGCTCCCCTCCACAGAAATTCACTGAACATCTAGATCACTTCTAAACAAGATAAAATACTAAAACTTTAATTACTGAACATAAATTTTACGCACTTTAGTTTCCTTTTGCAGAGGAACTAAAGATATTTGGATCTATTAGTAAATATGGTTAGTGCCACATTAAAAATGTTTACTATGAGGAAGCATGTTTTTCTAAAAATTATGAAATGTATTCATAAATTTACTATTCTAAAGAATGCTAGGGTAACAGTTCTTAATTGCTTAGCAAGTGTTTACTACAAATTAAGGCTTCTAAGTGTTAAGAATTCTAATGTGTGCAAGCTCAGTCACTCATGTAATTTAAAACAATAAGAAATAATTGTGTATGCAAGGAAAATAGGATGTATTTTTTTGTTTCAGAGGCTTTTTTTTGGTTTAAAAGGGTATGTGATATGGCAATATATTTTGTTGAGGGAAATAATAGTGGTTTTTTCCTAAAGTAAAGCTAGTTATTTTAAAATAGGAAGGAGAAAGATTATGGAAAAACTATGGACATAGAAAATAAAGAAGAATGAAAGAAAGAAAAAGAGGAAAAAAGAGGAAACCCTGTGTGGTCAAGTTAGCTAAAAAAAGTAATTGTTATTGTAAGAGTTTTAAAATAAGCTTAAATACTAAAATATTCTTATGCAAAACTAAAACTTAATTTTCTTTCATCTGCTAAAAGGGCAAATTTTATTAGATCTATTAATAAAAAAGATCTACTCCTTAAGAGAAATTTGAAAAGCTTTCCTTTATCTTTAAAACAGTCTGTTTAGAAAGCAAAGACTTTGTGTTTTATCAAAATAATTTTTTGTGCTTTACATCTTTATTATCAAGTCTTTGATTATTTAAGTAAACTGAGTCATCTCAATATTTAAAGCGAAGTTTGGCTCAGAAGTATGTAACTTACTGCATTTGCTCTTGAAAACCTCCATTCTATTCTATTTGAATAATTAAGTGGGTAATTAGATATTGTTTCATAATGATCTGTAGTCCTTTTTAGTTGTGTCCAAATCTTTTTAATTTTTTGGCAGAACTTCCCAAAATCAAATTCTAAGTGAAGTCTTTTTGACCTGGAAATAACTTTGGGATTTTCCAGAGATACTTTGGAAAAATCAGAAAAGGCATTTTCTTTCTCCTTATAAAAAGAGAGCTGTTACACTAATTAAGATTATTTGATATGTTAAATTACATGGAAAACTTTGTCAAACAAGTAATACTAAGCTTTTTTTTTTTTTAATGATTTGAGTGTTCAGGCTTTTTTCTTTTTTAAAAAAGATTTATTTATTTTTGGCTGCGCTGGGTCTTCATTGCTGCACACAGGCTTTCTTTAGTTGCAGTGAGTGGGGCTATACTCTAGTTGTGGCCCTCAGGCTTCTCACGCAGAGCAACGGCTCTAAAGTGCATGGGCTTTAGCAGTCGTGGTGCACGGTTTTAATGTGTCATGTGGAATCTTCCCAGAGCAGGGTTCGAACCCATGTCCCCTGCATTAGCAGGCGGATTTTTAACCATTGGACCACTAGGGAAGTCCAAACCTTCTTCATGTTATATTTACATAGGTATGTGTTACGGAAATTGTATGAACTTCCTGGAAATCTATTATTTCCTGGTATGATGTTATCAGTCATAATTCTAGTTATCGTAAACATTACTCATTGCAAAGATTACCAAATTTCCTTGTCAATTCCATTACCATGAATTCTTATCAGATATTTAATAATGGGCATCTTAAGGATTTTGTCATTTACAATAGTTAATTGTTTTATTCTGATGCTTTTGCAAAAGTGTTCCTACAAAACTGTTTCATCTTCAGAGAAATCCATACAAAGAACGCTGAACTCTAACAGGTATTCTAGAGTACAGGTTTCTGGTCATTTTAAAATCATAAAACTAAACTGGGTAAGAATTCCAGAATAATGGAAAAACTAGATTCAAATAGAGCCAGTATTAATTACATTGAATTAAATAAACTGAGGAGGTTGATTATAATTTGTATGACTTTTTGTTCTAATTCAGTGCGTATTTCTTCATGTTTTATTTTTCCAGATTTAAAGAAATGTTTTCTTTTAAATAATCTATGACTTACAGCAATCAATAAAGCATACCTTTTTAAACAAAAATGACATTTTTTTTCTATGTGATCTCTCCAGAATTCAGAAACTCTCAATACATTCTTTTCATGGCAATATAGGTAGTCATTCACATATGTTCAAAAAGAATCTGTTCTCCTCGTAATGGAACACAATTGGAAACAGTGATTACAATACCAAGGCTTGGACTGGATTGTCACATTGGAGAGAGATGTACATAGACTCAGAGAGGACCTTGCTTTCAAGGTTCCAGCAAAGCAATCGTAAAAAGAGCTTACATGGTCAATCATTATTCTTGCTGCGCTTATGTAAATAATCAAGCCAAATTTAATGAAAAAAAATTTAAGTTTTACTGGGATTATTCTTGTAAAGAATTTTTTACAAAGCAGGAATAATTGTAGGGAGAAAAATTTTATTTGAACCTTTATGTTCCCCATGGCCAGAGGAGCCTGGCAGGCTACAGTCCATGGGATCCGCAGAGTCGAACATGACTGGGCGACTAAGCACAGCAGAGCAAATCAGACTTCGGGGGTCCCAGGTGGCGCTAGTGGTAAAGAACCCGACTGTCAATGCAGGAGCCATGAAAGACGAGGGCTGACCCCTGGTCAGGAAGATCCCCTGGAGGAGGGCATGACAACCCACCCCAGTATTCTTGCCTGGAGAATCCCATGGACAGAGGAGCCTGGCAAGGTACAGTCCACAGGGTTGCAAAGAGTCGGACATGACAGAAGCAACTTAGCAGCGACTAGGACACATATACCCATAAACTGGACTGAATCCTGAATTTTTCTGGTTTCCTCAAATATCTGGCTACAACTCTCCAAGCTAACGTTTCAATTGTCTCCCACCTTTCTGAATTGGAGTCAGTGAGAACGAAGACTGCCCTTGAACCTCCTTGGAAGGGACTCTACCAGGTCCTCCTCGCTACCTGCGTGGCAGCCAGTCTCTAGGGTCTTAAACCTTACATATACATCTCACAGCTGAAGATCCACCTGACATCCGGTCTTGTAAAATACTGAATCTCTAAATCAACTTGAGCAGGAAGAGAGGCAGCTGACAGTGAGGTGGACATCAGATCAGGACATCAGATCAACACTTCATACTTCAACTGAACATGAAATTCTCTCTCTCTCTCTTTTTTTCCTTTCCCTTTCTTTCACTCTGGCATAGGCTTGAGAAGGTAAACCATCATCTGTATCTCCCAGGCCACTGATAAGGGAGGTAGCCTCTGAAATTGAAAACAACTATGATTTGGGGCTAGGAGAAAACCTAGCTGACATCTAACTTGAATAGGCATATGCAACTAACTATCCCTGTGAGTGAATCCACTAGCAGCGCTGCCTTGACGGAAGTGATTTGTGTCCTGGCAGGGTTTGCCTTTGTCTGTGATGGCTGTCATTCTCCGTATGTACCTAGATGGCTGGTACATCGTCATCAGGCGGTCTCTCAGGCTGTCTAACTGTGACCCTGAGTGCTCACAGACAAACTGAGATACCTCATTGGTTGAACTCCCTGGATTTACATCAGTGAGTTAGAAAGGAAGTGTCAAGAGGTATCCACGACTCAGGATTCACTTTCTTTAGTGGGTCCATTCTTCTCTGGTTAAGTGAAGTGAAGTGAAAGTTACTCAGTCATGTCCAACTGTTTGCGACCCCACGGACTATACAGTCTATGGAATTCTCCAGGCCAGAATACTGGAGTGGGTAGCCTTTCCCTTCTCCAGGGGATCTTCTCAACGCAGGGATGGAACCCAGGTCTCCCACATTGCAGGCGGATT